CAAATATTGCCGGGAATGTGAAAGAAATTGTGAAATTCTTTCTTTATCTGGATGAAACTTGGAGTTGGAATTAATTAGAGGGATTGTATGAGAAAATATTACTTATCCCAATTAAAACTATTTACCCAACAAAATTCTTTCGGTGAGAATTTCAATGGGAATTTTTTTACATTTTAGGCATTTAATTGTTTAATAACTCTGGGTATTTATCAGGATTATTATTTTTTCTGTGCACGTAGGGACAATCAGTGAATTTGATTTTTGAATGCATCGATTTTTCTTCGCGTTATTTTATTGATTTCATTGAGAAGGAATGTGAAATTTCCTGGGAATTGGGTTTTGTTTACTTGTTCGGTTTGTTTTCCCTCTCGATCCCCTCGGAAAATTCCGGGTAAGATAATTCCATGGGTTTTGCTGAAACTCCATTTTTGTTTGTCTTTTACTCCACGTCTCACGTATCACAACAAGAATGCGTAAAAAATTGTTTTGAATTTTTCAACACGAGAGTTTAATTACTTTCACAATCATTCATTGCGAAATAAAAGCGCGAGCAGTTGATAAAAATCGAAATTTGTTCGATAAACATTTGAAGTGAAGATAAATAAATGGAAATATTATAATAATTGCAGAGATGGATGTCAGTACATGAAGGAGCCTGAGAATTTATCACCACTGCTGCCCAATGCGTCAGCTATTGAAATGCTACCTGGTTTTCCGATTTGTAAAAATTCGGAGAATTTTACAATAATTGCCGAGGCCAAAGATGCTATTTTGCAGCCAGACGGTGGTATCTATGTTGATGGTATTAATTTACCATCGCTGCAGTATTGCGTCGAGCGAATAAAAGAAGCTGATGGAAGAGCTAAAGTATTTGCATGCGCTGAGCATGGATCCAGAAGGTAACAACACGAGAAAAAATAATTGAATAATAATCATGCTTTCAGGGATAGCTAAATAAATCGTCAGTGAAGGTATTATCTCGACGTGAGGTTACATTAACAAATCGTGGGAAGTCCATCCAATTGCAAGAACTAATCGACTTGTGGTGTTCGATATTTCAATTACACGCCTTTTCCAATTGCGCAAATTTCCGTGCAATAAATAAATAAATTAAAATATCGCTGGGTGGGATGTGTTACAAAAATTGCAATCGTATTTGATATTGATTTTTTATAAAGGCCGGAATTCGTTGAATTGAATATTTTTTTTTCTCATTATCACTCACGAAAGTGTCGTAAAAGACTAAAATTTATTTCGCAGCGATAAATTGAGGTAAAAATGCGTGAATTTTATTTGTCGTTAGCAAGGCAACGATCTGTTGCGGTTCTCGGTTGTTGATCGCGAAATGAAGCCCCATAAAAAGAATGAGATGATGAGAAAGGGAATTTTTTTTGATATATTTATACCAGGAAGGGTCTGATGTACTTTTTTTTTTT